GGATCAATATGACCACAAAATTGGAAAGCTCTTGAAATTTTTTTCTAATTTCTGAAAAACACGGAAATAACTTTTTTGATTATTTACTTCATTTCTCGTTATAAATATTAAATTAAACCATTTTGTTATCGTAAAAAACTTGAGAGATCAAAATAATTCTAACAAAAGTATAATAAACTAAAAAAGCATAAATAAAAAAATTGTTTAACAAACTTACCTAAAGTGAATAGTTTTTTAGTTATCTTTTTGTTGTAAAATCATAAATAGCCTATAACTTTTTTGTTATTAGGTTTGCGAATATGGCGATTGATGTTACCATTTCTTATAAGTAAAGTTAATAACTTTAGAGAAAGTTAACAATTTCTAAAATTTTAAATATTATTTTGAATCAAGAAACCTGTGACGGGTGATTTGACGGTATCTATGGTAATTTGTCATTGTTCAAAACTTAATGGAGTCAATTTTTCAGGTTGTTATAAACAATTTGTTGAATAATTATTCAAAAAATTATAATTAAGTGTTTTGTAAACAATATTACTGATAAAAATAGCAGTCAGTGACATTGACAAGCCAAACATTTGAAAAATTAAAAAGTTATACAAACAAAGTTTGCTAATTTTGACAAAAACTCAACAAAGCTGTAGGATTGAGACAATAAAATATATAATTTATTTTATGAAATATTTTAATTCAAAACATTTTAATGGACCACAAATGTAAAACACACTGTGTTTTGCTGTTTTGTTGCCCAACATTTATAAACATTTCTTATTTTTGTTAATTAACGGTAATTAAAAAAACTTGTTTAATCACTAATTATAATGTCAAAAACTAATCTTACACCTACTTAACCCATTCTAATCTACATTTTTATTAGTCTAATTAATTTACAAACCAATCGATCTAAATTTATAATTAAAAGCCGCAAATATTGTGGGAACCACAGACCCATGGTCTGCGGTGGGAACCTTAAAGTATAACTTCGTCGAATACATAAAAAACAATTTTCCTCACGAAATCTGGTTCGAGCATTTAGTTGAATAACCTTTTAAGTCTAAATAAATTGTATTTAAAACGAAAAAAACGCCGATGACAAGTTTTGCAAAGTAGCGCAAAATTACCATAATTTTATGCGACATTTTTTTAAGGTACGCACGAATTTGTTAAATTTAATCCCGACAAATTGACCAGAAGAATTCAAGATATTTTTTTACCTAAAAAGTTTCGGCTTTGTAATTGGGACTTTATCGATAACGAAAAATATGGAAAATGTGTGCCAATTTCGAACAAATTATATAAAAAAATATAAGTTTCATCGATTTAGTTACTTAATAAAATAGTCGAAATTTGTGGATGTATTCTATAATTACTATAAATTAAATAAATATTGCGTACAGTGCCCTTGAAACATTCTCTTCTCTTTTACTGTGAAAAACTGCTTAGTCTATTTTCACTTTGATTTACACAGAAAAATTTAAGATTTTTTATACAAATATTTAATAATCATTTTTTAGATAATATTAAGTATTTGTCGTAATAAAAGTATAGTAAGCAATTCGTTTATAAACTTTTCTAGACACTCATTTTATTAAGCACTTGCTCGCAAGCTCGCTTGAACCATTCCGCATATTTGGTAATTTTTCATATTTGTACAGTTATTTTACCGTTTTTGTTTACTGTAAAAATAACTAAAAGTCAACTTATAAGTAACCAAAAATGGTTAAATTAACCAATGGTTAAATTAACCAATAAATGGTTAAACCAACAGTTTATTTTAACCTTTAAAACTTTTTTTGGTCCAACCTCTAAGAATATTATTAAAATAATATTACCGTAATATTTAATTAAATTATTAAAAATATTAATTTAATGCACAATTAGTATTAAATTAATAAACATTGTAGAAGCTTTAATCCTTAAATTACTTGGATTATAAATTTAAAGGTTAAAAAAATTAAATCAAATAATTAAAATATTGATTCAAAAAATATTACTTAAAAAAGAATGTTTTGTTTAAAAAATTGGATAATTAAACCAAATATAAAAGTATTTAAATGTAACTAACTGGAAAGGTTGAATAAAATATCAAATTTATTTTTTAAAAAACTTTATTACAAAAATACAACTCTATTGGAACACAAAATAAAACATAATAGATTTAAATAATTTTTTTTTACTTTTAATTTTTGTATTCAAAATTTAATTAAAATCAAAAAAATCTAATTTTTATAAAAACAAATTTTTGAATACGTACATATACACTACTAAAATAGTCTTTTGAAATTTTGGCGTTTATATTTAAAAGCTTTTCCTCATCGATATATCTTGTCCTATAATAAAGTTTATTTTATGGTAAAATAATATTACAATTACATGCAGGTAGGTAATAATCTTGTCACAAGCATGGTAACGCGAGAAAATATTACCATAAACTTAGCTTCGTCTTTAATTATTACAAAACAATAATTTGAGGCATTTTGTATTGTAAAAGAAAAAATATATTAAAAAAATCACTCGATATTTATTCAATATACGTTTAGTGTTGATATACTGATTTAAATAAAATAGACTATTAAAATAACATTTTTAATTTGTCATTCTCAAAATATTAATTGAAAGTAAAATTTAAGTTTAAGTCAACAAAATCTTTATTGTTGAATTTCTAAAACTGTTGATTTAACAAATTCATTTCTCTCAGTGCATCTAGTTATTTTTATTTAAAATGCTGCTGTAATATCTGAGTAAGCTTGTAAAATTTGGGAAATCCGATTATTTTCTAACCCTAAAAATTGTAAAATTTTGTTGTTAATTTATTTATTTGAAATTTAACAAAGAAAAAATATCCTTGAACAAAACAGTAGACTACTAAGTGCAATGCATTGATTGTTCCACATAACCAACCAATTATAGTTAATTTATTATTACAAATGGTAAAAGTACTTTATTTTTAATGGACACATTTAAGCAACAGATAAATAAAACATTCGGAGCCTTTGTTTAACATTTTTAAACACCTTTTTATCGAATATACTGAACATAGTGTAACTATTAATAGGTAGAATCATCATGTGTTTTTTGTAAAACAAAAACACCAAGAAATGAGTTGTTGCAACTTTGTAACCAAACTTCTCCATCGCCCGAAAACGAAATCAAAAAAGATGCCCAGCGAATCGGAATCAGTTTCCAACCTCAAAATGCTCCTGGAAGACAAAAACCACGAGCTCAAGAAAAAAGAGCAAACCATCGTCCTGTTGGAGCGGCAAATAGAGGACAAGGACGCCCTGATAAGGCATCTGCAGAACGAAATCGACAAATTCCGACAGGTGGTCAAGCCGATAACGCAAAAAATTATCACCAAGCAAATAGATTTGGGGGGCGAATTCTGGCCAGGCCCTGGCGTCGAAAACACCAGGGTCCTGCAGCTGGCCGAACCACGTATCAAAAGACAAGCCATCAGCGCTGAACCTCTAAACAGCCACGGGGCGGATCTGCACATACAAAAAATCGCTAAATCTGCTGTGTAAGTTGCAACACCCTGTATAATCGTCATCATTGGAAAGATCGTGGTATTTTTGGTACACATTCCAAATTTGGTTGAAATCGGTGCAAAAATGGCGAAGTTATAGCCGTTTTAAGTTTCAAGGTCACTTACGTCAAATTTTGACAATTATGGCCTTGAAACTTAAAATGCTTGTATCTTCGTTATTTTTCAAGTAATTTTCACGAAATTTGGACTATATGCTAAAAACTGTACTGTCTTTTTGGTAGTTGTACTATTTTTTTTATAAAATTGACATTGCGCTTTTTTTTACTTCAATTAGGTATATTCGCAAATTTGGTTGAAATCGGTGCAGAAATAGCGAAGTTATAGCCGTTTGAAGTCTCAAGGTCACTTACGTTAAATTTTGACAGTTGTGGCCTTGAAACTTATTTTTCAAGTAATTTTGGTTGTACTATTTTTTTTTATAAAATTGACATTGCGCCCTCTTTAACTTCAAATATATTCACATTGGATTAATGGAAAGATCGTAAAATTTTTTGTACACATTCCAAATTTGGTTGGAATCGGTGCAAAAATAGCGAAGTTAAAGCGGTTTGAACTTTCAAGGTCACTTACGTCAAATTTTGACAGTTATGACCTTGAAACTTGAAATGCTTATATCTTCGTTATTTTCTAAGTGATTTTGACGAAATTTGGACCATATGCTTAAAACTGTACCGTGTTTTTTGTGGTTGTACTATTTTTTTTTATATAATTAACATTTTGCATTACACTGCGCTTTCTTTAACTTCAATTATATTCGCATGACAGTTGTTAATTTGCCGATATTTAAATTAAGTAATCAATCATGACATCTTAAGACAGGTTTTAAATTAAAATCGAGATTGTTATCACTTAATTTTTCTTGATTACGGATTTTAATGTGTTTTTTGGCCTCAACAACTGCAAAATGTTTTTATTGGTTTTCTGTACACGTGAAATTAAAGGTTTTTTTACTGTAATTTTCCAATTTAGCTTACACATGACGTTTTTAAATGGACGTAATTTATCGCAATTATAACCTGTGGTTGTGTGCAGCTAAATGTGTGGGCTTGTATTCTATTTTTAAACCCTTTAGTCATAGATACCAAAATGCATTTATATATATATACAAGATGACTTGAAACATTATCTATCAGGATGTATGTGAAATATGTACACAACAAATGATTTATTCTGCTTTTCTAACATTTTGTGACAACATTAAAAATGTGTGGAGCTTGCCGCACGAGCGTAGCGAGCCAATGGAATCTCCTCTTTTGAAAAATTGCCGCAACACAACCTCAATGAATTTTATTTGATATTTTATTTGACATCTGACAGCTCTCAATTAGTTTTAACCTCACTTTTTGCCGAAATGCTATCTTACCCACTAGTGGGAAAAGTAAAATTTCGCCCACCAATTAAAGTTAAAAAATTTATAAAAACATTATTTTAACGTATTTTTTATTATTTCTAGATCTCGAGACCTCATCAAAGCAGCTATCTTGGACAATGATTTCATGAAAAATTTGGAAATCACACAAATTAAAGAAATTGTGGATTGCATGTACCCCGAAGAATATAAGGCTGAAAGTATTATTATCAAAGAGGGTGATGTCGGCAGTATAGTCTACGTTTTAGAAGGTAAGAAACATATACTTATTTTAAATCTATAACTACTTGGATTTGTAATATTAAACACATATTTTTCTTAAATTCAAACTCCATAACACAAATAATCGTACTTGTACCTAGGCAACTAAGTATACAAATATGTATTCTGGGTTGCATAAGTTTGTCCACCATCAAGTCTCGTTGATCGCGTAACTTCATAAAATACCTAATAATTAAAGATCTTGGTGCTACAAATAAATTTATAATTATAATAATTTTACGAGTTATCGACCTTATAATGTGACTGTATGTCTGTAATTAAAACGTAAATCATTCTATTGTTTTTGTTTTGTATTCTGTCTAGTCTCGATTGTCCGTTGTTTTGACACGTCTTTTTTCATTCATGTGATAAAATATACGGGATGTTCAGATAGTACACGTTTTTTGATCATCAGAAGAATAAATTTTTGATATAAAATGTATAAACTCACTTTCAAGATGATCATGATTTTTGAATTACTTTCTCCAATTAAAATCAAAACTAGTAAAATATTAATCTTTCGATTCCGCTATAAATTATTCAAAAATTGTGATAATTTAACAAGAAGAAAGTTTTCCTTAAAATGCTTTTTAGGAAGATTCACGAAATCACGTAGGTATATAATATTTGGATGGGAAGATAGAAAGCTGATTAATTCAGTAAAAATTAATAAATCTTTGCTAAAATTACGTTTTAATCTAATTGATTATTTAAATGCGGTTGCTTTTTGTTGTATAACCAAACTCATTAGAGAATGCTTAGAAGGTCATTCTTTATGTTTTCGTTTATAATACACACCCATGCTAAAGTTGTTAACATTTATTATTTTTTCTTGCATTTTTATTATTTTATCCTTAAAAAAGTAATAATTAAGAAAAGTATCAAGGTCAGAGTTGTCAGATGTGACCTTAAATGGTTGACATTTTAAATATTTATATATTTAGACATTTCGTAGATGTAATTTTACAGGGTTAAAAAAAACAAAATCTACTCGTTAAATGCATTTTTTGTAATTTAAAATTTATTGTTATATTAAAGATTAAATATATCTAATATCTTTACATATTAAGTATATAGTATGTGATTTGTATTATTTTTTAAATTAAAAAATAATGTTTCTTATCAAAGAAAATATTTTAAACACAAAATTGCAATCATTCATTAAAAATATATACAGGGTATCCTGAAAATGATGCGAACTAAAATTAACATGGTTGACAGATGTATTTTTTTACAGTTTACGTTAAAAAAATTAAACTTTAAATCATAAATATTTTTTAAACATTAAAATAACAAAAATAAAATTTAATTTTTAACCAACTCAAAAACTAGTCAAAAAAATTTAAAATTAAAAAAAAAAAATTCAAAAAGATTTTCAAAATTTTTTGGTAGTTATACCACAAAATTCGTTGGATTATTTTTGGAAGTAACAAAATTTACAATATATTTTTTTTTAAATTAAAAACAAAACGCACAGTAGGATAAATTTAAAAATGGTAGGACAAATTCGCACAGTAGTTCAACATTTAAAAAATGTGGGAAACAATTTAATAGTAGTATAAATAAAAAAACCGACATGAGACAAAATACAAATTACTGTTACTTGTAGGTATGTATGTAGGACAAACTCGCATAAATTTAAAATAGTAGGATTAATTCGCACAGTACTTCAAAATTAAAAAAAAATTAAATTTTACAAAATGTTCAAAATTTTCCACAAAAAAATTAAATTTACAAAATTTACAAAATTTTAACTGTAAAATAAAAAACAAGAATTTTTCATTCATAGATCTCTCGTGTGGTACCTATTTGATTATTTTTTTATGTGAAAAATAACCAAAATTCTATAATTGACAAAATTTTCAATATTTTTAAAATTTAAACAAAACGGGTAAATAAATTAAAAATGGTAGGACGAATTCGCACAAAGGTTGGAAATTACAAAAATGTGGGAAACATTTGAACACAGAAATATTTAGAAAAACCAGCATAAATTTTTAAAAAATGGTAGGACACATTTATACAAAAGTTTAAAATCAAAAAATTGTTTAAAACATTCAAAAATTATTTAAATTTTAGAAAATAAGTTTTGGAAATTTAAAAAAAAATTGGGAAATTTTAAAATTAAACACATCCAAAATTTTCACAAATTTAAAACAAATTAAAAAGCTTGCTTGTAATTTTTGTCGCTAGTGCGATAAAGTCGTTCTTTTACACTTGTATTATAATATACTATTATAAAACGGTTGTTTATTTCATACCTTTAGGTATTTCGTTGTTAAAATTTCTGACAACAGGTTTTCGAAAATCTGTCCAATTATTTTTAATTTCTTCTTAATCATGATATTACCACTAAAATTTTAAAAAATTTCCAAATGAGAACAGATCTGTAGAATTATTTTTAATTTATCGATCTATCGTGTCGTTGGATTATTTTAATATGTAAATTTTTTTTTTAAATTTCCAAAATTGATAATTTTTTTTAATACTGCATTGCTTTTTATAAGTCGGTCTACAAAAAAAGGTTTGTAAAAATAATAATTTTTCTAGAGATATTTTTATTAAAAACATTTTAAATGATCTCTATAAATATAACCATAAATCAGAATTTCCTTGACAGTCGAAAATATCAACTAAAAATACCACATTTTACCCTCATTTAAACAAAAAATACACCGGAAATGCATAAACATAACCCCACTTATTAAGCACCCCACAATCTCACACTAATTTCCTGCCCATGCATACCCAATCATCGAATTTCAATGCGTTCAATCGACAGACAAGGCGACAAGACAACTTTCCTGCAGTCTCGAACGTCGGCGGTTTAACGCGAAGACCGTTCCTGCAAAAATCCTGCAAAACCAAGAGACGCCAGTCGTGCACAGGCAGTCGAACCGAGAGGTCCGCGTCGCTTTTCTCCACAAACGCGACACCGCGTGCCCGTAGACACCTTGAAATGTAGTTCTCAAAAATTCCCGTAGACATTTCTTCATTTGAGCGTTCCTGCGTAAACAAAGACGATAAGTGTGTGGTTATTATTAAGAGAAAAAAACCGTGATTTGTGAGGATACGATTCTCGGTAGTTACTTTCGTTTCGTTGCCCAAGGTAAAATGATTCAAGTGGACTAAGTTCTGTTGCGTATGGGGGATACAGGCAACAGGATGTAGATCTGTTATTACTGGTTTTAGCGTTCTGTTTTTTTTTTTTAATTTTTACGAATGTGTTGTGTGGACGGGTTCTTGTTTTTTGGTAGATTAGCTAACACTATAACTTGTTTTGTGGGAATTGTGGATGATGAATAAGGTGACAAAGAAAGATTTTAATTATAGGTTGATTAATTTGGAATTTTGAAAATAGATAGTTAATTTATTTCTTATGGTCAAAAAATCAAGTAAAAATATTTTTTTAATCAAATACCTATTTAAAAATTTCTAAAAAAAGGTGAAACCATAACAAATTAAAAATAGTCAAAATATAGTGACCATAAAGTAATGACGTTTAAAATTTTTAAAAAAATATTAAAAATTTGATAAAAATAACAAAACTATGATATAAATTTGGTTTACACAAACAGTCTAAAAATATGTACAGGGTGATCCGATATAATGTCCCCCCCTTTAACTTTTTTATTTTAAGTGTCCCAAAAAAATTAAAAGTGTGGTTATGTAGGTACTAAAAAATACTTTTTTCTACGTATAAAAAAATGGAAACTGATCAATAATATACAGGGAAAAACAAAAAGTTTTTTTTTACAATGGATCACCCCATATATGAATTTATTTTTCGATTCCTTGTAAAATTCTGAGCATAATTCATATAACAAACCATATACCTAAATTCAACCGTTTCTGAAATATGTAGTTATTCGCATTCGAAATGTTATCATTAAATGTTTTTTAAACTGTTAGAAATCAAGAAGCCTCAGTAAATTTTTATTGAAAATAAATTACTATAGTGACATTATGTCAATATGTCCTGTTAAATAAGTATAATTTAAATATTTCAGAAACGGTTGAATTTAGGTATATGATATTTTATATGAAATATGCTTAGAATTTTACAAGGAATCGAAAATTAAATACATATATAGGGTGATCCATTGAAAAAATATATATTTTTACTGATAGATTTTCCAATTTTCTTTATACTTAGAAAAAAAGTATTTTTTAGTACCTACATAACCACACTTTTAATTTTTTTGGGACACTTAAAATATCAAAGTTAAAGGGGGGCGACATTATAGGGGATCACCCTGTACAGGGTGTTTTCGAATAAAATCTGTATTTGAAGGAGGTTAAAAAATTTAAAAATGGTTTAAAAAAGTATTTTTTGACGAAAATTAAAAAACAAAAAAGCATCGGTAAAATTGATAAAATAGATACCTATAACATTCTTTTTTTCAATGGAACCATGTATATTTTTGAAATTAAAAGTTGTCAATTAAAATATTGTTAGTTTGTTTAATTGTTACAATTACACATTATTTTTGCTATTAAAATATTTTCTAAAATAAATATTATATTTTATTTAGATATATAGTGCTTCATCTAGTTAACATTCTACAGCTTTGTTAATTTTATTTCAAAATTATTAAATGTTTGTGAAACTTATAAATTTTAAAACTGTTTAGCTTGTCAATATTTTTATAAGTCACTGACTGTTATTTTTTATCAGTAATTTTGTTTACAAAACACTTAATTAGTCAAAAAATTTTTTATAACAACCTGAAAAATTTACGGTATTAAATTTTGAGAATGACAGATTACGTGGTAACCATAGATACCGTTAACTCACTCGTCACAGGTTTCATGATACAATATAATATTTAAAATTTTAGAAATTGTTAAATATTAAAAAATTAATAGATCGAAAACTATTATTATAATAGACTTAAATGGATAAACGCTTTTAAAATTTCAAATCGATATCTTCCCCAGAAATTTACCACGAATGTAAAACACCCTGTATACAGGGTGTTTTTTGAAA